GGCTTGAGTTAAAGGCAAAAGTTTTCCCACACATATTACATTCATAGGGTTTCTCCCCTGTGTGAGTCCTCTGGTGTGCCCTAACTTCTGACTTCCGGGAGATAGTATTCCCACATTCATTACATTCATAGGGCTTCTCCCCTGTGTGAGTCCTCTGGTGTGCCCTAACTTCTGACTTCCGGGAGATAGTTTTCCCACATACATTACATTCATAGGGTTTCTCCCCTGTGTGAGTCCTCTGGTGTGCATTGAGGTGTGACTTATGGGAGAAAGTTTTGCTACATTCATTACATTCATAGGGTTTCTGCCCTGTGTGAGTCCTCTGGTGTGCACTGAGGTGTGACTTCCGGGAGAAAGTTTTCTCACATTCATTACATCCATAGGGTTTCTCCCCTGTGTGAATCCTCTGGTGTGCATTGAGGTGTGACTTATGGGAGAAAGTTTTCCCACATTCATTACATTCATAGGGTTTCTGCCCTGTGTGAGTCCTCTGGTGTGCACTGAGGTGTGATTTCCGGGAGAAAGTTTTCTCACATTCATTACATCCATAGGGTTTCTCCCCTGTGTGAATCCTCTGGTGTGCATTGAGGTGTGACTTATGGGAGAAAGTTTTCCCACATTCATTACATTCATAGGGTTTCTGCCCTGTGTGAGTCCTCTGGTGTTCACTAAGTTGTGACTTGTGGGAGAAAGTTTTCCCACATTCATTACATTCATAGGGTTTCTCCCCTGTGTGAGTCCTCTGGTGTCCACTAAGGATTGACTTCTGGGAGAAAGTTTTTCCACATTCATCACATTCATAGGATTTCACACCTGTGTGAATTCTCTTATGCACTCTAAGGTTTGAGTTAAAGGCAAATGTTTTCCCACATATATGACATTCATAGGGTTTCTCCCCTGTGTGAGTCCTCTGGTGTGCCTTAACTTCTGACTTCCGGGAGAAAGTTTTCCCACATTCATTACATTCATAGGGTTTCTCCCCTGTGTGAGTCCTCTGGTGTACACTAAGGTTTGACTTCCGGGAGAAAGTTTTCCCACATTCATCACATCCATAGGATTTTACACCTGTGTGAATTCTCTGATGCACTCTAAGGGATGAGTTAAAGGGCAAATGGTTTCCCAAATATATTAGATTCATAGGGTTTCTCTCCTGTGTGAACTCTCTGACATGCACAAACATATGACTTCTCAGTGAAAGCTTTCCCACATTCATTACATTCATAGGGTTTCTCCCCTGTGTGAATTTTCTGATGTGCTCTAAGCACTGAATTACGGGCAATAGTTTCCTCACATTCATTACACTCATAAGTTTCTCCCCTG